GGGGCGGGCCCCAGCCATTTAAATTTAAATGAAGCCGCGATTATTTTAATCGCGGCTTCATTTCCCTTTTCCGATCTGGCTAATCTACATGCCTCCGTCGAAGGAGGCATGTAGTCTAGACACACCCTGTGTGAATGCATATTCTGCTTTTCATGTTGTACGTTCCATAAATGCGGCGTATTGCCTTTCCCCCTGAAAAAGATCCTGGGTGTGTCTTTTAAGCATAATGTTTATTGGTGGAGGATGCAGGCATAGTCTAATCAGGAGAAGCAGGGTGAAATAGAAGCATACAAAACTTATAAGCAAGACATTATACATCATACGTATATTCTTATACCAATACTAAAATACAACATTTTGGCTGCAGGAGAGCAGAAAAAAGTCCAGCACCACAATGTTCGTTTCATTCTGACAAAAGATGGCACGGCGTAAGAACGCGCTGGTGGAAAACGGCCACTTCGTGCCGAAAGCTGCGTCTTGTTGAAAGATCTCAGGTGAAAAGGTTTCCGCCACTTGGAGCTGGCTAACCTGTGATCCAGGCCTCTGTGCTGCTCTGAAAACAATTGGTAGCTCTTGATGTAAAGGGTCTGCCAAGAAATAGAGCGTGCTTGTCCAGGACTGTGTCTACCATGCAGCTCCAGCCTGGGAAAGGCCCAAACAAGCAGGGAGGCTGGAATTTCAAACAGCTGGCTATTCTCCAAGCCAGGCCCAGCCAAAGGGTTTGCAGGGCCCAAGGATGCGGGGCGCGGGGCCCCAGGCCTGGCTGGTGGATGGTGAATACTCAGCAGCACGGGGCCCCAAAAGAATGGGTCTTTGCTCGCCTTGCCCTCAGGCTGGGCCTGCTCCAAGCTGGGGGAGATGCTTTTTCCCATCTAAGCTCCCTTCCTCCATCTCAGCCCCCCTTGCGAAATGGAAGGAAATTTCAGATGGCTCAGATGGCAGTTTCAGCCTGGCTAGTCTTGAAGGCATCTCAGAGAAGGTCTCCTCAGTAAGGCCAGAGAAAAGAGGGAAGGCAGGTGTTGGGGGGGGGGGGCGGGTCTCACTTCGATACAATACCTCCATTACAGCTGTGGATTCTGGGTATCTCATTAGGCTAGAACATAGGTGATAAGATTACCGTCCTTGGCAGACGACTACCTCCTCGCTTTAATCCCCGAGCTTGCTGAAGGATGCTGCTTTCATTTGATAGCATTTGTGGGTGGTTCCAATGAGCTTTGGTTTGCTGCGATAAATGAAATTGCTCTCCCCCCCCCCCCGGGGAAAACTTCATTAATGCCGGTGGCCAGTCAGATCAGCGTTATTCTAGCGCAGGAGAAGAGGCGGCATGCAGAAAGGGGATTCGGCTGGGATGCTGTCTCTGAAGCTCCCCTAAATGCTGATGATTTGTATCTTTTGCTGTGTGCTCAAACTTCACGGCATTTCCACCTGACTCCGTCCACTAACACGCTGCTCGGGGCTGAATGATTTAACTGTGGAAAGCACCTTTTTGCTAGAACCTACCACGGCTCGGCAGGTTTGCTTTGCAAGTTGCCTTGCTTCCTGGCACAATATTGAATCAGACGCCGCAGAGATATTTCAAAATAGATCGGTCAGGAAGTAAAACCATGTGTCTCTCGCTATTTCTGTCCCGCTGGTGGAGGAATGTACTGGGGAGATGCCAAAGTATTTGGGGATGTAATATCAAGGCTGTTGAGCTACCGAGGGGCTTAAATGGTGCGGCGAACACAAGACTCAGAAAGCCAGAAAGAGGTGGGGAAAATATCAAATCCAACACAGCACGCAGGCACCTGCAAATAATACCATTAGTGCAATGGGGCAGGTTTAAGTAACATATGTGCTGACGTGCTTAGCTCAGAGGCAGGCAAAATGCTGGTAGCTCCCTCTAGGGCAGTATGTGACCCTGGCTAGGGAAGGAGACTTTGCGCGATGCCCCCGCCCCCAGGCCAATCGTCACAGCTCCCATTGGTTGGAGCGGTACATGGAGGGAGCCTCCAGCTGTTTTGAGTGGCCTGGGACTGCGGCAGGCAGGGAGCCTGTTTCGAGGGCCCTGTTGGGCTGTAGGCCAGGAGCTGGCTAAGGTAAGTGCCTCTCAACCAGAGCTTTCCTCCGGTACCCCACCCTCTCCCACTCCCCAACTCCCAGGTCACCACCCCCTCCTGCCTTAGGTCACCACCTAAACTATCTGCACCCCCCTTCATCCCAGTCTCAACTCCCTCCCAGACCCTGCACCCCCCACACTCCTCCCCAAATTCTACTTCTGCACCCTTACCCTCTCCTGGGCCCTGCACCCCAATTCTCTGCCCAGTTCACAACCCCTTTCCTTCACCCAAACTCTCTCTCAGAACCCCCCACCCTCTCCTGTATCCCAATCCCCTACCCCAGGCTCCCTTCTGCACCCACCCTCCATCCCCGACCCCACACCCTGTCCACAGAAAAGCGTGGCCCTTGACCACTTACCAAAACCTTGGAGTGGCCCCCGTGAAAAATCATTGCCCACCCCTGACTTAGCTGGATCAGGGCCTCTCTTCACAGAATCCTTTGGCTTTTCCTCCACCAATAAGTCATTGTCCTGGTAGCTGAGGCTGGCGGGGCATGGACATGAAGTGCGGAGTAGCAGCGCTCTCCCCCGGAAGGTCCGTGCTATCTGTCTGGACTGTGGGAGAGATGGTCAAACAATGGAATTTCTGCCCCCAGGGAAAACTGTCTTGACTCGGAATGAAGCTGTGCAGTCTCTGACTGTTTTCCGAAATGAAACCACCTTAGCAAAGCCTTTCACTGAACCCTAATTGTTCTGAATATAATAATCTACACGTTGAAATGACAACGTCAAAATGGAGCATTTTTGCCTCGAACTTCCTGCAGTAATTGGGAACCAAAATGGATGTGCTCCTGCAAAAGCCCTAGATGTAATCAAATCAGTGTTTTCGGATGGAAACCTGTGTAGCAGGAAAAATTGGGACCAGCCGTAGTTGTGGGTGAGGGTGAGACACAGCCGGTGAGGTTTTATGTCTCTAGGAACTAGCTAACACAAGTTACGCCTCATCCATCATCCTAGCTACTTTGCTCACTGGCTAGTTGTGTCTTTCTGGATTCCTTGGTGTTCCCACAACCAGCTCTGGGCTTGCTCCCAATCCTCTCCTTATGCACAGAGCAGCCCTCCTGAAATCGCCCGTAAGGCTGTGTGACGGCGCGTTGGGGGTCCCCCGTCTCCTGCACCCCGAAATGGCACAAACAGACTCCACCAGCCAGTAGAATTGAGGGTGGTTTATTGCTCCTCCAGCACAGCGCAGCACAGATGTAATCTGGTTACAGGAACTGGGGCTAAGAGGCCTCAGTGCCCCCTTTGAGATGGGGGGATCCCAGCCCCCTCCCCAGTTCCTTCTCCCCTGCTTTCCAGCCAGGAACTCACTCCCTCTCCTCCAGCCCTGGCCCCCAGCCAGGGCAGCATTCCACCTTCCTTTGTTCCTCTCCATGGGGGTCAGCTGGCCAAACCAGTTGGGATACCCTCTTTGCATAGTGACTCATCGCTTGTCTGCTCGGTGGTGCTACAGGCAGCAGCCAGAGAGTTAGTAGGTTACTCCCCACTACGTCACAGGCTGCTACCCTCCAACATCTCCGTAAGGCCCAGCTCTGCTGTGACACAACAGAGTACTCACCCGGAGATGCTTAGCCACGTGGCACTGGCTGTTTGATGTTGGTTTATATTTTTTTAAATCCATCCCCTAAGGATTCAGTTTGTGCACATTCGCGGCTTACCTGGGTTGAATCCTGTGTCCCTCCCCACCCCTTCCTACCGTTTGTAATACTCATTTTTTGCACTTTGCCTTAAATTGCGTCCAGACCTTTCAACTTGCTGTGCGTAGGCAGGTCCCCACGCATGCCCCGTGGGCTAAAGGCGAGGCCGGGCAGGACTGAGCAGTTAGAATGTGAGCTCTTTGGGGAAAGGGCGTCAAGATCCTGGGAGCGAGGCTTAGAGAGGGGTCAAACCTGGGGCTGAGAGCATCAGAGGCATAACATAAAAAACTCCATGAATGTATCTAGTTGGTAGCCATGTTCTAGCCTGGGGCTGATTCTAAGGATCTGAGTCAGGTTTCAGGGTCCATCCAACTCAGGAGCAAAGTCCACATCAAGCAGAGGTCACAGCCAGGACCCCAGGGGCAGGGCTGTTTGTGACACCTACAGGAAACCCTCACTGTTACCTGGACACTTTCTGGAAAGCCCCTTGGGTTTATATAGGGAAGGGAGCCAATTGGGGCCAAGAAGCTGCTGCCTGTCCGATCCCATGAGGCGGGACTTCCCCTAGTCCAGTGGCCTCCAACCTTTTTAAGCACGAGATCACTTTTTGAATTTAAGTGCAATCCAGGATCTACCTCAAACCCAAACACCCTGGCCCCGCCTCCTTCCTGCTCCTTCTCCAAGCCCCGCCCTGCTTACTCCATCCTCCCTCCCCCATCCTCACTCACTTTTATCAGGCGGGGCGCAAGAGTTTTGGGTACAGGAGAGGTTCAGGACTGGGGCCAAGGTTCGGAATGCAGGCTCCAGCTGGGCATCGCTTACCCCAGGTGGCTTCTGGGTGGTTGTGGGGCAAGGGGCTAAGGCAGGCTCACCCCTCCTCCCACAGATGGGGAGCAATTCCAAGGCAGAGGCTAGAAGTTGCACAGCAGTGCTTTAGAGGGGCAGATGAAGTGCCTGCACTTGACAGCCTCCCAGCCAAACCTCTCAGGATCACCCGTCAAAGGCTCCAAGATCCACCAGTAGATCCCCATCTACTGGTTGGTGACCACTGCCCTAGTCTATGTCCACAGGGGATGCAGTGCAGCACGATCGCCTTACAGCTGCCGCTAGGTGGCAGCATGGAGGCGGCTGCTACTCAGCAGCTGGACGGTTTTGGGTTTGAGACCTGCCAGACTTTGCACTGGGACGGCCTCCCACCGCTGGAGAAACCATTGGCAGCCGGGAGTGTGTGCAGCGTGTGCGCCATCTGTCACGCCCAGCGTGGGATTTCACTGTGTCTCTGCTCCCCGCAGACCACTGACACCCCAAGGGCGGGCTGGCGAATAGACAGCATGTGCGTTTTGCTCTGCCAAATGGGAGATGGCACCAAATGGGACCCAGGCAGCGGGTGGGACCTTGCAGAATTCCCACAGCGGCTGAAGTCCCCTACCTGGGCTGGAAGAGCAGCGCAGGGAGGGAATTGGGAAACCCGCCTGCTTCACCCGTAGGTGCAGTGGTGGCTGGGGGTGCGGCAAAGGTTCCCCAGGACTGAGCGTAGTTTGGAAAACACGTCTCCTCCCTCTGGAGCAAAGGCAGCTGAAATCAGACAAATCCAGGCTAGAAACAAGCCCTGGAAGTTTAGAGGGAGGGTGATTAACCACTGGGTCAATTCAGCAAGGGCTGGGCTAGATTCTTTATTGCTGGCTATGTCTCAGTCAAAGTTGGACGGGTTTCTGTCGAGAGCCACTCTGGCTCCAACCGGAATTGATTCAGGGCAGTCCAGGAGCTGAAGTCTGTGGGAAGTCAGGGTAAATGCTCACAAGATGGCCCGCCTTCTGGCCTTTTAAGCTGTGTGCAGCCGTGTCACAGGGCTGCCAGGAGAGCCCCACCTCTCCCTCTCTGGCTTGTACTAATGCCAGGGGTGATGGGGCATGAGGCAACACCCCTCAGCTGAAAGGAACAGCCTGGATTCCAGCTGCCACCGGGCTGGCTGTCAATTTCCCTCTAATCTTTTCCATCCTATACAGATTTGTTCCTACCTATGTGCGGAATAAATTGGTTTGTGCATTGAGGCATGTGTGTTTGTGCACCACCAGCAGAAGCAAAAACCTAGCTATGGGCGTGCAGGTAATCAGCACAAGCCCGCAGCTTACAGGGAATACTGCTGGCGGTGTTCTATGCCTTCCAGCTCCCGGCCCCCAGGGGCGGACTGGCCCAGTGGGATACCAGGAATTTCCCAGTGGGCCGTCTTCCTAAGGGCCAGGTGGTGGCTGCTGGCGGAGGAGGGGGATTTGTGATGCCACAGCCCCGCACTTTAAATTCCCTGGTGCCATGCGCCGGCCGAATACAGAACACTGTGGGGCCGAGGGAGCACATGCGCGACATGCTCAAATGCCGAGCAACAGGTGAGAGGGGAGACGCCCGGGCGTGGCGTGACATCACGGCCCGGGACTTTAAAACCGCCCGGCCCAGCACTGCACTGTGCAGCCCAGCTCCAGGTCCGGCACGTGGTCTGGTCTGGAGCCCTGGAAGCAGCTGGGGCCCGATTGCAGACTCCAGCCCTGCCAACTGGAAGGCAGAAGCCAGGTAGGGGAGGGAAAGGGGAAAAAATAGGGGGAAGCGGTGGGAGAGGAAGGGGCTTGTGCTAGGAGATGACAATGCCCCGGGTTTGGGCTCCCCCTGGAGCGCGCACCCCACCCCCCAGGAAGCTGCGCAAGCTGCATTTGTGCGCGCACCCTCCCCGGACAAAAAGGTGGGGAGGAGGCAAAAACTGTTTTGCTTGGGGTGGCAAAAAACCTAGAGCTGGCCCTGGATGCAGGGAAAGGGGGAGGGGCATGCAGGGGTGACGTCAAAAAGGGGAGGAGCATGCAGGGGTGATGTCAAAAAGGGGAGGAGCATGCAGGGTTGATGTCATGGGGAGGGCCGTTCTCAACCCATTTCCCGGGCCTATTTTGATTGCCAGTCTGCCCCTGCCCGCCCCCCACTAAATATTGTTCCAGTGCCCCAGCCAGGATGTGAGGGTGTCGGGGAGCCTGGCAGGGATCCCTGGGGGCTGAGCTGTCATTGTGCAAAGGAGCCATCGCCCGTTCTGCAAGGCGCAGGCCGGTTTGAGGGACCGCTGAAGGCAGAGCGCTGGAGAGCTTTGGGCACTGACAGCTCCTTTGATCATCCCAGAGAAGAGCAGCAGACGCCTTCCCCGGCTTTGCCTCCCCCTCCCTGCCCTCGGCACATCATTTATTCATGAAAAATGAACACGCTTTGAGCAATAACAAATGGGCCCCACCAGCCCATTCATAACCTCCCTGCCAGCACATTTCTATTTCCACGTCCTCCGAGTCGCTGTGATCTTCGTTGTCTCTATTTTTGCAGCGTTTTGTGACAGCCTCTCGTTGACAAATTAAAGTTTGCCATTAGGTAAATCTTTCCGCGAGATATTAGCACAGAAAGAGCCCTGCCCCTTTCAATAACTCCACCATTTAAAATCAGTGCACGTAATGTATAGACGTGTGGTCCATACATAGCGAGTAATGCCCCTGCACCGGAGAGCAGAAATGACCAAACTCTCTGCGGAAGGCTGTGAATGCGCCGAGCCAACCTGTGAATCTACCTGGAGGTAGAAGCCCCAGGGATAAATGGTCAGTAGATCAGCCGGCTCTCTTGCAAGATAAGACTTGATGCGCTTGCTTCAGTAACGCAGAGTTTTAGAGCTGGTTAACACGTGTACTTCAAAACGTGGTTTTCAGTGAAAACACGGCTTTTGGGTCATGGTGGGAAAGGTCTGCTTTTGACAATACTTTGGAGGTAGGACGACGAAGTGACCAAAAACATTGGCAACTGAAATGAAAGTCAACAAAACCGAGGGTTTTTTTTAAAGAAAATATTTAATGAAAAAAAGATTGAATTGTTGAAAACATTGATGGGAACAAAACATGTTCACCCACCATCTCTGCTCCTGAGTAAGGGCTCCATGTCGGGGCAACACAGGGGGAACAGTGGTAGACGTGCGGGAACTGTCTTTATCTCTGGGATACTTTCCAAGTCCTTTGGTAGCAGTTCTTTAGTGTTGGTATTATCTGCATTATGATAGGAACCCAGGCCCCATCAGGCTGCATAAACATAACCTAAGGACACATCCTGCTCCAAAGAACTGACAGTTCTCATTGGATGTGCTCTACAGAAAGAACCTCTCCCTTGTACCATACAAAGGTACTTTCAATGAAAGCCAGGTCACCACAGCATCAAGGACTCAAATTCTGTGGGAATTTGCATATCTTCTTTCGAAAGTGAAAGTAGTTTAGACGGGGCTTTTTTCGTGACCTCCCCTTTGTCGAAAAGCCGCGTAAACCTCATTTTTTGAGGAAAAGCGGCCTTTCAACAAGGGGGGGGGGGGGGATTTGCCGAAAAAGCCGTGTCTAAACTACTTTCACTTTCGAAAGCTCTGCCTTCGAAAGTGCAATCGGAAGAAGAGATGCACATTCCCGGGGAATTTGCATATCCTCTTTCGACTGCTCTGCATAGTCTAATGAGCCCAAAGGGTGAAATACAGCCCAGTGCACATGGCCCAGACATCACGACTCCTCCCATACCAGCCTGACTTAATTAGCTTCATTGGCGCTGGTTCTACAGTTGACAACTTTTGCGGTTATATATACCTTGGATTCTGTGATTTCCAGTCCAACTCATCAGATGAAGTGGGTTTTTACCCACGAAAGCTCATGACCTAACAAATGTGTTAGTCTCTAAGGTGCCATTGGCCTACCTGTTGCTTTTAAAGTTTCAGACTAACACAGCTAGTAGGGATGTAAAAAGTCAGTTCAATAACCGGGTAACTGCTCAGTTACGTGTGCTGTGGCTGTCGTATAAAGCTTAAACAGAACCCACAGCAAAGCTTCCATAGGAGCAGGGCTGCCAGCCCCCGCCAGCCTTGCTCCGAGGGAGGAAGCTTCACTGTCGCAGCATTGACTCTGCTCTTGGGGAACCAGCATGTAACCTGCAGTGGAGGGTTGGGGGAGAGTGGGCCAGACCTGCCACGGACAGGGATCAGCCCCCCTGCCTGCGGTGGGCCCCTCAGGGCTGGAGCAGCCCCCTTCCCAGGGGTACTTGGTCCTGCTGTGAAGGCAGGGGACTGGACTCGATGACCTTTCAAGGTCCCTTCCAGTTCTAGGAGATAGGCAATCTCCATTCATTTATTTTTAGCCCCTGCGGTTAACCGGAACTGGTAAGCTTAGAGTTCCGCTTACTGGTTAACTGGTTAACCTTTCACATCCCTAACAGCTACCCCTCTGAGACGCCTCCCATTTGGTTTATTGGCGACCCTCCTCCCACATAACCAAGCCCTGCTTTGCAAATATCCGTGAAAACTTTTTTTTCACAAGTACTCACACAGGTGATGCAAAGTGCAATTTCACCAGGACCCCGCTCGTGACCTGCAGATAAGAGACTGGCAAAAAGGTGCAAAGATCCAGTGACGCATGCAGGCTCAGGTCTGGCTTTCTGATTTTAGCGCTGGAAATACCTCAGTGTCCGTTCATGCTTTCCTTATAGCAAGCACCCCGACGTACAATTGTTTTCAGAGGAGCTCTGAGAGGTGCCAAAGACTTCCCCAGAGAGATAGCTACAACCATCTGGCTAGCTCGGAGCCAAAAAAAAAAAAAAAAAAAAAA